TTGTATTATTATTTCTAGTGACGGCTGAAGCATCTGTACAAATGCTTCTTCCTAAACTAGGACCAACATTCACAAAAAATCTGTTAAACTTATCAGCTGCATCCTCCATTCTGGTGACCGGTGTATCATTATCCATAAAATATTGGGGGTAGTTAATCTTACTGGAGCTGTTTCTAATCAATTTATTTAATATATTAAATATATACCTCTCATGTTATTTTTATTATCCTCCAATACTTTAGAGTAATATTGTTTCTTACATCTCCTCAGGATCTCAGTTAATTTGTTCTTGTACGCCTTATATTTTGCTTCTGTCTTTTTTGATCTGTCTTTTATGAAATCCTTGTATAATGCATTCTTCTTTTTACATGCATTCTGTAATCCCTTACTCATCCATGGTTTCTCGCTGTAATTCCTTTTGTTTTTATACTGCTTACGTGGGCAGGTCCTGTCATATATCTTCATTCATAAAATTAAATTTCTGAAAAATCACCATCCTTTTCAACTTTTAAACAATCTGATCTAAACAATTACTTCCAAACACTGTAACACTTAAAATATGCTAACAAAAAACGAACCAAAACCATTGGCCTCCTCAAACGTTTTAATTTTATATCAGAATAGCTTTATCTCTTTGTATTTTATCTTTATTCTCACTTGTTTGGTTCTGCTGTTCAATTTCAGCAAACATCGACGCATTCTGCTGAAAGTCACCAGCAGAGGGTGTCTCGTTAATCTTGAACACATGGCTAAATAACAATACTTTATGTTGGTTTAACTTAATCCTACCTCCACATATAGACACTATTATCTAAGTACATTAATTGGAATGCATTGCAACAACGTGACAGAAGCATGGCTAATGATAACATAGTAAGTTATTGCTGTTTCTTGCATTGCAACTTCCAGTGTCGGGGATTCATTTTTAAAATTACAGCAAGCAATGCTTGAAATAAATACTTACGATTACAAAAAAGTTCTAGATAGATCAATGTGTCCCGAGGAGTGAGGTCCGCAGATGGGCCATAGTTGGACCCTTCCGAGAATTAATTTACCTTCTCAGTTATGTGACTAGCGTCACTTTTATCCCAGAGTTACAAAGCGTAGGAAGAATAGTCGCTCGTTTCATACGAAAATGCATAGAAACGAGAAAGTATGATACTGTGTTTACACTTAGCTACAATAACGTTAGTAGCTAGCTAACTACGCTCACTGTGCTCTGTCATGTTTGCTCATGATAGCCTCATGCTAGATAACCTCCTGTTTGAACCACGTAACTTAACCAGATACCATAGTTTTATTAGCCTATTGAGTACGTACACTGGAGAAATGCCCTCTTGGTGGCCGGTTGTGGAGAAAATGGCTGTCCGGTGCTGAAGCCGAAAAAGGTCCGCAAGAGCCAGACAAGTGTCCGGTAGGAGGCATGCCACAGGCCCCTCTGAAAGGAGGGCCATGGGGGTGTAGTGGTGGTGGTCCGAACGGCGGTGGACGGTGTGCAGGTTTATCTGGACGGTACATGGTAGCTTCCGTGTCACCGATTGAAGAAACCAACACTTTACGTGAAACTATTATATCATCTCATACAATGCCGCAGCTGGTTCCACTGCCCTGCAACCACTGTAGCTGATACCGGAAATGCTACAGCTACAAACGAAAACATCCGGGTTAATTCAAAATAAGAGTCCATATTTTGTTAGTACCTTAAAATCACTCATCTAATCATGGTTAAAACCATAGACATAATATACATAGACGCCGCGTTGAGCCTTGAATCAGACGTCACCGTAGGCGCCATATTGGAAGTGGCAAAAAGTAAGATGCCTAAATAGAAACCAGATCCCATGGGATTAACTTTCACAAGTAAGGCTCAACTATGTTTTTGATTGTATTTTGTCAATATAACATCGTTTTGAGAACGGAATGTGCTTACTTTGTGGATAATACTGTGGCGCTCCACTGGTTCGGATGAGTGGATCTGGTCTGACCCTATCCTATACTGGAACATCTAACTATCCAGCTGTGTGCTGGCACCTAGACTGACAAGGAGGAGAACACCGTATCTGTCTTTTCTTGGCTTTATTCAGGCATACAAAAACAAGAAAGAAAAGGGTTGCAAAACGCAGCACTATGTGCTCACTGGAAAAAGTAACAAAACAGAACATTACAGGTCTCTCCCCGAACTTCACTATCGCCCGCCAACAGAGCCAACACAGCACGCCCACCTGTCATCCCTCTTATACCCTCCCGCACCTGTTCCTCCCCCCATCCCACATTGGCCAGAACAGCGCGGCATTTCACAGAAAA